GATTTCCAGTGCGGCGCGACGACGACGACGACGACGACGACGACGACGACGACGACGACGACGACGACGACGACGACGACGCCGACGCCGACGCCGACGCCGACGCCGACGCCGACGCCGACGCCGACGCCGACGACGACGTGGCTGGAACGCCCAAACGCACCGAGCTCGTCGTCTGACGAGGGGCTGCGGGCCGCGCACTTCGAGCAGCTCGCGGGCCGACCCGTTCCCTGGCAGGGCTGGGCTAGGGGTGCCTCCGAGCCCCGCCCGGTCACCGCAGGCAAGCCCGAGCGCCGCGTCCCTCCTTCTTCTTCTCCTCCCCCTCCTCCTCCCGCACCCTCCTCCTTCTCCTCCTCCTCCTCCTCTTCTTGCCCCCGGCGAGCTCCGGGGACCACACACACAGTACAGCAATGGACGATCTCAAACCTCTGATGCATCGAAGAAGAAACGCCATGAACATGAACTTTTGGCGCTCCGCGCGCAGATCTAAGAAATCTGCGCGGAGCGCCAAAAGTTTGTGTTTGTGCCGTGTTATCTTCTTCTGATCAATGGACCATCTCAAGCCTGTGATGTATGTGATGCTTGTTCTGCAGGCGCTCTGTGGTGAGCTCTCGCTGGTCTCGCCGGCACGTCAGCCTGGCCCGGGCAACAACAGCTATGGTGCGGCTCTCCCTCTTGCCAGCGCGCGCGCAGGAGCGAAGAAGGGAGACAGGCAGACAGCCGCCAGGCGCTTCACAGGGCATACTGAGGCAGAACATGTTCAGCAGTTCAGCATAGCGTAAGACACAAGTCGCACTGTCCTGCACTACAGGACTGAAACTGCAGAGCAGACAGGGGGGAGGGAGGGAGGGGGAGGAGAACAAGGCAGGAGAACGAACAAGGAGGAGGACAGGGGGAGGAAGACGAGGAGAACGAAGTGGGGAGGGGGAAGGGAAAGCACCGTCTGCCTTGGGCTGGCGGTGGGTCTGCGCAGTGGGGCCACCGCTTCGCCGAGGGGGCGGGCCGCGAGGGCGCCGGTCGGAGCATTCAGTCCATGCAGTTGGTCCACGGCAGGCAGCGTCGAGGCTGCGAACTCGCGTGCTGCTTGGAGCACTCCACGTTCCGCTGTGGTGTCTTCGCCCTCCCCCTCAGATGAGGAAGAGGTATCCGTACCTCTACCGTTCGCCAGTTTTCCCCATTTGGGGCCTCCAGGGAGGTCCGTCGCTACCGCTGGGTCCGCCTCGAAATCCTGATCAGAACGCACCCCGGGAGAGGTCTGGGGAGTAGCGGTATCGGCGCCTTTTGGTTTCCCCACCCCCGTTCTTGCGTCCTCTTCTGCGTGTGCCTCAGCTGGTTCCAGGCGCGTCCCGCCCGTAGCCCGGCAGGCGCCTGCAACGCTTTCGCACTCTTGCGCCCGCTAACTTACAAGTAAAGATGTCACTGTGGTATGCTAGGTGGATGTTTGCGTCGGCGGCAGTGGTGCGAATATTCGGCTCGCACTGGAGCCAGCTGAGCTTGTTGACGATCTTGCGCACCCGCGCCATCGCGTCCTTATGCTTGCTCAGGTTACGGGCGACCTGTGTATGAAGGTGCCCACCCTTGTCGATAATGGCTCCAAAATGTTTGCGACCTCGAGATATACTGTGATGTTGCGCTCCTTAGTAGCGATCGTGTGCTCAGCTTGCGACATCAGCTGTAGCTTGGCGAGATTGGCTCCTGGTCCATGAAGGGCTGCCATGGTTGCAGTCTTGTAACGTTTGTCCAAGGGGGAGAACCGAACGGTCATTCACAGTGCCTGGGCGCTTGGCTGAAGTAGGGTTCCGTGGTGCGGATTGTTGTTGCGTTGTTATTGCGTTGTTGGTGTTGTTGCTGCTGCTGTTTTTGCTGTCATTGCTGTTGGTTGTCGTTGCCGTCATCCTGGCGAAGGACCCAACCATATGCAGTTGTGAGTGCCGCGTTGTGGGTGCCGCTATCGGAGGAGCCCCCCAAGGGGCCACGAAGCGCGTGAGGGACGTGCCGCAATGGGTGGGGGGGACGTATGCGGGCGGTGCCTCTGTGGCCTTCGGTGGGGCTCCCTATGGGCCCACGAAGCGCTGCACTGGGTGGGGGGTCGCGTGCGGACGGGCCACTGGAGCTCCCTACGGGGTCACGAGAAATTTTACCAGGTGGGGGGGACGCATGCGGGCGGTGCCATTGGGGCTTGTTGGAGCTCCCAATCAATGGGGCCGCGAAATGCTGCACTGGGTGGTGGCCGACGCATGCGAGCGGTGCCACTGGGGTCTTTCGGTGGAGCTCCCTATGGGGCCACGAAGCGCTGTATTGGGTGTGGCGGACGCGTGTGGCCACCCCTACTGGGGCCTTGGGTGTAGCCCCCTATGGGGCCACGAAGCGCTGTACTGGGTGTGGCGGACGCATGTTGCCACTCCCACTGGGGCCTTGGGTGGAGCTCCGTATGGGGCCACGAAGCGCTGTACTGGGTGTGGCGGACGCATGTGGCCACCCCCACTGGGGCCGCAGGTGGAGCTTCCTGTGGGGCCACGAAACGTTGGACTGGGTGTGGCGGACGCATGTGGCCACCCCCACTGGGGCCGCAGGTGGAGCTGCTGTGGGGCCACGAAACGCTGTACCTGTTGTGCCGGACGCATGTGGCCACCCCCAATGGGGTTTTATGTGGAGCTCCCTGCGGGGCCACGAAACGTTGTACTGGGTGTGGCGGACGCATGTGGCTACCCCCACAAGGGGCATTGGGTGGAGCTCCCTATGGGACCACGAAGCGCTGCAATGGGTGTGGCCGACGCGTGTGGCCACCCCCACTGGGGCCTTGGGTGGAGCTCCCTATGGGGCCACGAAGCGCTGTAGTGGGTGTGGCGGGCGCATGTGGCCACCCCCATTGGGGCCTTGGGTGGAACTCCGTATGGGGCCACGAAGCGCTGTACTGGGTGTGGCGGACGCATGTGGCCACCCCCACTGGGGCCTTGGGTGGAGCTCCCTATGGGGCCACGAAGCGCTGTACTGGGTGTGGCGGACGCATGTGGCCACTCCCACTGGGGCCTTGGGTGGAGCTCCCTATGGGGCCTCGAAGCGCTGTACTGGGTGTGGTGGACGCATGTGGCCACCCCCATTGGGTCCTTGGGTGGAGCTCCGTATGGGGCCACGAAGCGCCTTACTGGGTGTGGCGGACGCATGTGACCACCCCCGCTGGGGCCTTGGGTGGAGCTCCCTATGGGGCCACGAAACGTTGTACTGGTTGGGTGAAACGCAGGGAGTATGGAGGAGGGAGACGGGGGATGAGGGAGTGGGCAGCGGGAGGAGGAAAAGGAGGCGCGGGGCGATGTCTCTTCAAAACGAGGACCCGACACCACAGGATGGTTAGGAATTACGATATCGATGATGTTGATGATGATGAGGATGATGAGGATAATGCTGATGATGGGAAGAGGAGGGGGGGAGGATGAGAGGAGAGGAGTGACGTGGGGCGCTGTCTCTTCAAACCGGCGACCCAACACCACAGGATGGTTGGGACAACAATCGCGTATTTTACGCGAACGCGCGAGTCCTACATTACTCGCCAGGAAGTCGCTGGCGAGAGCGAGATTCGTAAATAAGCGGTAAGGAAATACCAGGCGAGAGCGCGATTCCTGAATGGCGAGGGCGTGGCGCTTGAAAGAATTCCAAGGAAGTCACAGGCGAGACCGTTGTATAAATTGCAAGGAAGTCCGTGGCGAGAGCACGATTCCTCAAACAATTGCGAGGAAGTATCAGGCGGGAGCCGTTGTTGCCGTTGTTGTTGTTGTTGGTGGTGGTGGTGGTGGTGTTGCTGTTGAGTTCTCATTCCAAAAGATTTATTATTGTTGATTCCCCCTCCGGTGACCATTGTGTTTGTTCATTGAAGTGCTTCCTCCGGGGCTCGCACCCTGCTTTAGGGAAAGTCACGGGGCTCAAAATATATTGTTGGCCCCCGGATTACAACAACAGCGGCTCCCGCCTGAAACATCTTCACAATTTAGCCAGGACCCCCGCTCCCGCTTGAGACTCCCCCGCGTGTTACTCAGGAATCGCACTCTCGCTTGAGACTCCCTTTATTAAGGGATCGCTCTCTCGGCGCTCTGGAGTCGCGCTCTCTCTGGAGACTTGCTTGCAATCTGATAAGAATCGCGCTCTTGCGTTGGAATACGCCGCAATTTACACAAGCGCCGCGCCCCCGACACCCAGGCACCCAGGAGTCGCGCTCACGCTCAGGACTCCCTCGCAGCTTACTTAGGAATCGGGATCTCGCCGCCCTTCGTGGCCGCGTTGCAGCTCTTCTAGGCCCTCGCGCTGCCCTTCGTAGACCCGTTGCAACCCTTCGTGGCCCCCTCGCTGCCTTTCGTGGCCCTGTTGCAGCCCTTCGTAGCCCCCTCGCTGCCCTTCGTGGCCCCGTCGCAGCCCTGGATGACTCCCTCGCTGCCCTTCGTGGCCCCGTTGCAGCCCTTCGTGGCCCCATCGCTGTCTTTCGTGGCCCTTTTCGGCCCTTCGCGGCCCCCTCGCTGTCCTTCGTGGTCCCGCTGCACCCCTCCCCCTCGCTGCCCTGCGCGGCCCCGTCGCAGCCCTTCGCGGCCCCCTCGCTGCACGTCGTGGCCCCATATATGCATGCTTTTCGTGGCCCTCGCTTGTTCGCGCCCGTCGTTGCCCGATATGCATGCGCTTCGCGGCCCCGTCGTCGCCCTTCGTGGCCCCCTCGCTGCCCTTCGTGGCCCCGTCGTTGCCCTCTGTGGCCCGTCCTTGCCTTGTGCGGCCCGATTTTCGCATTCCCTTCGTGGCCCCCGCTCGTTCGCGCCCTCAGCGGCCCCATATGCATGCCTTTCGTGGCCCCGCTATCGCCCTTCGCGGCCCTCTCGCTGCCCTACGTGGCCCTGTTGCTGCCCTCAGTGGCCACGTCGTTGCCCCCTGCGGCCCCGCATTATCTCTCTTCGTGGCCCCCGCTCGTTCGCGCCCTCAGTGGCCCCATACGCATGTTCTTCGTGGCCCCGCTGTCGCCCTTC